ATGACTCATTTTTTTTTGCGATCCATATCTCTATAAAAGAGGAAATGCATTATTTTCATTTTATTTGAAGAAAGGGGTAGTTAGCTTAGATTAGTAAATGCTGTATTATTTTGTCCTGATACGTACAAGGCCTAATGGAGCCCTTCTTGTCTCGTAAGGAAGCAACGCGACATCATTTGATGGTCATACTGTTGAACCACATGTACCTCTAAAAGCAGAGGGTTGGAGCGAGTGGTTAATAGGATTGAGGGCTCATCTGCAGGCAGTATTTTGTCACTTCCTTGCTGTGAAAGGAAGTGGTGGTTTTCTGGTGCATGTGACAAAACACATCAGACTGAAAGAGATGCGGTCTGTGATAATAACTATGTAGTAATCTCTCTGCTTTTTACATTGACACACTCAAAATGCAGAAAAAGTCCATAAATATGTTAGATCAAATGCAATGACATTTTTTTGTCTTTCACATACTAATTGAGTGGCATGTACACATGTATAATAAGTTGATTAACTCTTGTTTTTGTGGATTTGTTTGCAACTTCTGTTATATGTTGCTTTCTGTCATTACCAAGTCTTCCTTAAAAAAGTCTAATTTTAAAGGAGACCTGGCAATAATAGGCAGCAGCAGCAGCAGCATAATTTCAGTGATGACTACCTGGTTAAATCAAAGTTAAATAAATAAATAAAAAATCACTCTCTGTATACATACACATCGACTTTATTGTAATGAATGTTTGAGTCAAATCCTGTGTTGTGACTGAAATTTGTAGTCATCTGTATTGCTGGTATTCAGCTAACTACATGCTTTTTTAAGGTGGTAAAACAAACAGCTTGTATTTCCTCTCTGATTAAATTTTTGTGCTGTTGATCTGAGTGTTCAACCCTCATACAGTTCTAAGAGACAGAGTTGTTTAAACCCCACAAGTTTTGTACTCTGTGCTCGGTCCAGCAGAATGAAAATGTGCACTTTTATGAGTTTTTATGTGTGTGTGATTTTGGAAAGACCATCAGACGCTTATCTTGCCCCAAGCTGCTTCCTCCCTGTCTGACGGGGACATTGCCGTGCTTCTCCTGAGCATCACACTAAGACGGCACAAGAGTTAAGAAACGGGGTCCATTGAATCCAGCGAGCTTTACCCTGTGTGCGTCCTGGTTGGGGTCACACCTATCCCGGGTGTGCTTTTACCCCCGCTTCCCCGCTGTCTTATCTTGACATCGCCGCACTCCTCCAGAGCATTGCGCTAAGACCATGGGATGTTAAGCCCAAACCAGATCCAGATAATTATTTTTTTTTGCACCTGCCTTTTAATGACCTCTTTCCTTGCGCCCTTGATGTCGGATGATTACGTAATCAACAAGCATTACCACAGTTAGCCAGTAGAGATTTATATCGTAGGTCAAATTTATACACTTCAGTAGCATTCATGCAGTGTGTAACTTTCATAAACAATATATAGGTGCTTTATGCATATAAAAATACATATACATATAGGTACAGGTAATCTGCTAATAGATCAAACTCCTCCAGCTCCTCCCTCTGCAGCCGTCTGAAGAAATGCACCGCTCCTGGCCAAAAACAACCAGTTAGAGTCTGAAGGAGGGTATTGACGCTGTCAATCACCCTCATGAAAGGGTTGCTACATGTGCTAATGGCAGAAAAACAACTCATTGTTACATGTTCATCATTGTAACTAGCCATTCATGACAGACTCTGCTAACAGGAAGAAGCAGGAGGCCGTGGGCAGTGTGCACACAGACATGATTGACATCGCCATAGCTCGCCTCCTGGCTTTGATTGGTTGTTTGTAGTTAGCAGTGGGAGAAGGCAGAGGAACCTGACTTGTTTTCTTTCTCTCCACAGATTATCAGCCTCATATTATACTGTCATAACACAGTGTAAAAAACAAAACAAAAACATACTACAGCCATAAATCATTAAAATTAGTTGTTATCCAATAATTAAATTTGTGTTAAACATTTCATGGTACATTTAATTAACAATGTAATGATGCAGTTATTTAACTCTGACACTTTTGGCCCTCCATACTGTGCAGCCTTGTGATTCGTTCATATTATTTATGTAAAATATAAATAAATAAAACTGATGAGCACTTCCACCTCATTCTAATGATGAAACCCTCATGCTTCATGCTGTTTGGTTCTGGAAAGTCAGTGCAAAATGGAGAGGAGAAGCAGCAGATAGGGATCAGAAACACATCGTAACACAGCTAATCTTCAATCATCTGAAGTTTGAATTTGTGGTCTGAGCAGCTAATACAAGAACTGACAGGAAAATATTAAGTATATTTAGCTTTGTTTCTTTCTGTTTAGCTGAAATAATTTTCCCATATTCATTGTTTTGATCTTTAGCAGTTCTTGTTTTATTTGTTAGTTTGCATCTTAGTTTTACAAAGTATTTTAATGTTTTTTTATTTACATTTGAGATTGTCTTTTCTCCAGATTTTTGAAGAGCATTGCTGATTTTACTGATTTCATTTGTACTTTTGAGTGAATAAATTGCCAGTGATGTTATAAAAAATAGTTCAAGAACTTTTTACAAGTCAGTATTGATCAAAATAAGTTATTTGAGCTTTTGAGAATGCAATCTGCTGTTTTAACAGTTGAAATTACAATAAATAAATGACAATGCATCTCACATAATTTGTTCATGTTCTGTCATTATGTATTGAAGTATTTATGCAAGCAGCGTCTCTGACCTACTTTCTGGCTTCCTGAGGAAGGGTCATGAGTTTGCCTGAGGATTATTTGATGCCTGGTTGGTTGTGTATGTAACCTGGATTTGTCAGTCTGATAAAGCAACTGTGAAACTGAATGTCTCTGCAAGAATAAAGATGTCTATAAAATATTCCAAACATTCAAAAGCTTCCATTAAAAACTTCAAAGGCTCAGAATAGTTCAGCAGCAGTGTGATGACAGTCTCTTTGTGTTTTGTAAAGGTGTGTTAAACACTGCTATTAAGGATTTTGATCTTGTTCAGAGTGCAGAAGCTGAGCGCTCTACAGTAGACCTGCTGCACACTTTTCTGCGTCACCGTTAGCGCTGTTCTTCTGCTTGTCTGGATTTTTTCTTCCTCTAACTTGAGGGAAGCAGTCATGATTTACATCTTGACTTTAAGCTGCAAATCATGTACTGCAGTACGGGTTTCTATTATCACAGAAATCCCAGTTTAAAACGATAACGAAATAGAGCAGTGAAACGAGCATGCCTTTAGAATGTAGTAAAGTCAGCAGGGAGCACATGTGAGCCTTTGCTGGATTTTATACTTGTGTAATATACACAGTGTTTTTATTGCTTATATTTTTTCAGCATTCGTATGTGGAGTTTTCATCATAAAAAATAGTTCCCTTCATGCTGCTTTGCCCTGAAGTTACCCTCACTCCCTACCTCTCTTTGCCTTTTCCTCACTCTGTTTTTGTTCAATATCATTAGCATTATAACAAATCCCTTTTCTTTCTTGAAGTGCATTTTGATCTTTAATGCTGTTTACACACCTTTTAGTATGTTGGATTCAGTTTGATTGGACCAAAACTTCAACATTTGTTGCATTTTCAGCTGAATTGTAACACATGATCGATACTCTCTGAAAACCTGCTCCCCACTCACCTGTGGTGGTGCTCCACCAAGAATCACCAAATCAATGGAAACGACACAGAGCGCAACTTCCTCCTTCACAAAATGTAAATAAAAATGGAATGGCATGAGACTTTAGTGGTTCCAGGATTTTACTTTAGTTACTGGTAAACGATGACGACTCATTTATTTCAGTGTGTCACCGAGTATGTGTCTGCGGTCATAAAAATATCCATGCATGTCCGGTGTTTTGGAGGATTTGCAGACCTCTGAGAAGTGAAGTACACGTGAGTCTGTTGGAGGCAGAATTAAACTGCATCTGCAAATATTACACAGCAAATTTTTGCTAAGTAACCAAAGAGTTAGTTAATGTCAGAAACCTTTCTCAGCGAGGCAGTGACAGGTTGAGCAGCTAACCTCATAGCTGGTCTTCTCATAAAAGAAGATCAGATCATAATGTGTACTCATAAAAGGTTAGCTGGTCAACCAGCTAACTGGGTCAACCTTATAGGTAACCTCAAGAGTGCCATGCATTCCCCAGAATGCCTTGTGATTCTGGAACAGAGTTCAATGAATTGATCAAAATTCTCAGACATATTTTCTTTTGATATCAATATCTGTCTATCAATATATATATATATATATATATATATATATATATATATATATATATATATATATATATATATATATATATATATATATATATATATATATATATGTATATGCTTAATTAACCCCCCATGGACTGGTGTAGCTAATTAGCGTCTTTCCAGTGTAATAAATAATCCTGAGTTAGGTTGTGCAAAAAATAAATAAATAAAAAAATTACGGCTCATTAATGTCTTCTACATGTTATATATTACAAAAGACAGTGTGTGACCAAATTTCAAAAGATGAAGTTAAAAATTGATTGTTTGACATGAATTGAAATGTTCTCTCTTCTTGACCTTTAGTTTTCTGAACTTCCTGTTTTCTGCAGTCGCTTTAAGAGCAGCTCTGTTAAACAGTTGGGTAAAAAGGTTGTGCAAATGACTGTTAAACAGAAGAAGTCAGAGAGCTGTTTTTTGAAGGAAAAGTTTGTTGGGAACAGTCTGTTCCTATGGATTGTTTAAAGGAAGCAGTAAGGATTTCCCCTGTGAATAAATCAGAGCAGTGGAGTGGTGGAAAGTTGGCTTCGAATGAACTGGAAAAATATGACAGTGTAAAATGATTTAGTATTCTTTAGAAGCACTTAGAGTAATGTGTTCATCTTAATAGATACCCTGTCAATAAACCACTCTATTAAAATTTTCAGAAAAAAATGACAGGGGTGTTGAAATCATGCTGATGGATGCATTAAAATAAAGATTTTGTTTTATTCGAAAGCTTTTCTTATTTAAGATGTTCATGAATCACTTTTTGTTCCATAGAATCGGCTTTAAAGGCTGACAGCAGACCTGGGAAAAGTAGAAGAAGTCCTTTGCAGACCCTATACAAAGGAGACCAGGTGACAACAAATATACACCTCATAATGCAGCAACCACAAACAATTACAGCTGGATCTCCAGTACATAGTCAGAAAGTTGCCTCAGTTTAGGATAATTCTTGAACTTGACTCATGTAATATTTCTTAAAATGACCAACCAGGAGTACGTTGCATAACTAATGCATGACTCTATGCATTACAACTCAGTAACAATAATAATAATAATCTTTATTGTCATTACAGAAACGGTGTAACGAAAAAGCAAACGAAAAAGCTAAGTGATATTTATAACAGAAAGTATTTGATTCTCTCACATGCTTTAGCAATGTATTAGTGTTTTAACAATTATACATCCTTCATGTAGAGCAAAAATGTCCAGCACATGCAGACAACCGGCTCTTGGTTCTCCTAAATGCCAGAACAAAACAAAAAGTATTTTGTGGCTGAAATTCCAGCTGGAACTGCTGCTGCTTCGAAACACAATTGTTCTTAGCATTTTGTTTGCAGTTGAAGTGATTCTTAGATATATTTGCAAAGAATTTTGCAATATCTTTTCCTCATGAAGCTTCCAAAATCTGCATATGGAAGAAAAGAAATAGCAAGCATATTGGACAAAATTAAATCTTGAAAAACAAAAAATTGAATTAGTAACGGGAAATACTGTTCTGTCTTTCACAAATAAAAATGGTAACGGCAGAAAAGTGTTAAACGATGAGGCCTTGATGTCCGTGGCATTGCTTCTGTTTAAAAGATGTTTATGTGTTTGGTCCTCCTCTCACTCGACCTGCTTCGTCCTCATCAGAAGCAGCTGAAGCTGTCGGCAGCTCAGAAGTCCCTCCAAGGCCGCAAGGAGTTGTTGGAGCAGGCATGTCTGAACCACACGAAGAAGCGCCGGGTGCTTTCGCCAGAGGATCTCAAACACCTCATTGTGGACGACAAACATGGTCTAATTTACTGCTACGTACCCAAGGTTGGTTTCTGTGTCATAAATCCCACGTTTGTGGGGCTGGAGAGAGAGTTGATAAGCAAGGACCAAAGAAGCAGGAAGGCAGTATTGCTTTCTGCTTCTTTTTTCTTTTGTTGTCATAATTCATAAGTAATAATACGATGAAGCATGTTCTGCTATTAGCTCTACAGTAACTTTCTTTATCTTCAGTTTCTGTTCATTAGATGCTGAATGGAACAGTTTTTAGAAATATAAGTGAATATTGAGTAGAAGAAGCACAGTGAGTCTTCATCTTGAAGAGAAAGTGAGGATGAGTGAAACCAAGCAACACACCAATATAATCTCTTCACAAATTTAATCTTCTATGTCTGATTGGACATTTTATTTGATAAACAACATCACATTTGTTGTGGTTTGTTTACCTGGAATGCCCTGTGACAGAGTCTGTTTCCTGCCTTTGGAGCGGTCTCTGGTCCTCTTGCTGCTGATATGCATTCAAACCGCATCAGAGTTCACTTTAGCCAAACCCAGAGCTAGGTTTTTAGACAAAAGAGAGTTTCCTGTTTTGTTCCTCATCAGAGTTCGATTACAAATTCACTCCTTCCCACACACACTGAAGTTTCTCGTCAAACAAACTAGAGTTTGATTAAAGTAGACTAAACAGGGCTGATGTTAATGGACCCTTAGAAGTATCTAGAACTAAAGTGGATTGGTTGGGTCTCACTGCCCTCTGTTTGTCTCTGTTTGATGACTTCCAGGTAGCCTGCACCAACTGGAAGCGTGTGCTGATGGTCCTCTCCAGCAATGGCCGTTACTCTGACCCCCTCGCCATCCCTGCTAACGAGGCCCATGTGGCGGGTAACCTCCGCACGCTCTCTGACTTCTCCGTGACGGAGATAAACCAGCGCCTCCGCAGCTACCTCAAGTTCATCTTTGTGCGAGAGCCCTTTGAGCGCCTCGTTTCAGCCTACCGCAACAAGTTCACACGTAGCTACAACACCGCCTTCCACAAGCGCTACGGAACCAAGATCATCCGCCGGCACCGGGCCAACCCTCAACCGGAAGCCCTGGAGAAAGGAAACGACGTCTCCTTCCGAGAGTTCATCCAGTATCTGGTGGACCCCCGGACACAGCGGGAGGAGCCTTTCAACGAGCACTGGGAGCGGGTGCACTCCCTCTGCCACCCCTGTCTGATCCACTACGATGTGGTGGGGAAGTACGAAACTCTGGAGCCCGACGCTCACGCTGTGCTAAGGCAAGCGGGGGTGGAGGGCAAAGTTCAGTTCCCGACTTCTAGCAAGAGCACCAGGACCGATGGCAACATGGCAGCGCACTTCTTTAAGCACATCAGCCCTTTTTATCAGAAGAAACTGTTCAATCTCTACCGCATGGACTTCTTACTCTTTAACTACACCACACCGGAGTATCTGAAAACTCGATGACAAACAGAGATGAGAGGATCCAACGTTCCATTCACACTTTAGAGTGATGAGTAGTTTGCACGTTCTGGTTTCTGTTGAAACGACTGATTCCTACAGAGCCCCGAAAGGGACATAGAAAAAATAAAGAAACATTCTTGTGTGCGCAAGATACTTTATCTTTATTTCGTCTATGTCCCTTTAGGGGCTCCGTAGATTCCTACCTGTTAGAGGAAACAAACTTCAATTTCTCAGACAGACAGTTTCCAGACTGATGTAGGTGAATCACGAATTCCTACAAAGAGGTCGTTTTATTTGACTCCAATTGCAGCATCGGCAGTCGAAGGGATGAGCCGGTGAAAACACCTCACCAGCGTTCATGCTGTGCCCACTACAGTGATAATCCTCTTGTAGCTTTCCTGTTATAGGAGAATTAATGAGCCATAAATGAAAGCCGGTGTTTTCCAGAGGAGCCGGTTCTCCTCTTTAGCTGGCGATTGTGCTGACTGTGAAGTTTTCCTCGGATTGTTTCCGAGCCGTTACAGAAAGCCTTAATTTATGTACGTATGTCAGCGCAGAGTATTTATTGTCGTGTGAAGCGAGGTGTGAAAATAATTTAAATGAAAGGACAAGAGGTTTTTTTTTTTTTCTTTTTTACTAAATGTTAGAGATCAGATTAAGAAAATGTTTTGGGCATCTGGTACTCTTCTTCAGTTCAGTGAAACTCTCTTCTCAGCATCTTTCCTTGCCCGTATTTAGCTCTGGGACTCTGGGGCTGAACAAACAAGCGCATAGCTGTGGTCACGGCAGGGTCCGGCCCAGCGCTCCCCCGGTCAGAGCCGCCCTTGTTAGAGGCAGCATCGGCAGTCGAAGGGTTAAATGCACCTTCAGCCCTCTGCACTGCAGCGCCTTGTTTCAGCAAAAACGCCTTGGAATTTCTGGAGGAATAATTTGGAACTTACTATAGGAAAACGGCTCTTAATGGGCTTTACTGTCTTCTGCACCCAAAAGAGGAAACTTTGACACACTTTGTGGCTTTTTCTGGGTCTGTAGTTTGGATTTTACTGCACATTAAAAAAGAAAAGAGTCCAAGTGTTTAACAAGTACAGTCATCTGTCATTGAGTTGCATTGTGGGTAGTGTAGGCCCAAAGAATCTGGAGATTTATGTTCTTTCTTACTTTAGCTGCTGAACCTGAACTTTAACTTTAAGAAAAGTGTTATTTTTGTATAATTTGTTTAGAAAAACAATTAAAGATCTGAAAGGTCGACTGTGTAGGATGATGCGTTGTCTGTCCACCAGTGCAGGAAGTTAAAAATACTTCAGTTTTTCTGAGATCAGTGTTGTTTTATTGCTGCTTTTAGAACCAGTTCCTGACAGAGAACCATCTTGATGCATCACCCCTTAAATCTAAATTTGTTTTTTTTTTCTTATGTTTCTGCAATAACATAAGTAGTTCTATTTAAGAAATATTTGCAAATTTATTCCAAAATCTAAATGTAAAAGAATTTTTTTTTTCCTTTGAATCACATAAATAGCTTGATTTTTGTTATTTGCCAGATCGATCGCGGTCTGACTTCAGTAAGGCTGGCAGCAATGTAGTAGAAGAAATACTGACACCTGCAGGTGAGAGTTAGCATCACTTAAGCTCAATGTTTATGACCATTTTTATAAAAAAAAAAAAAGAAAAATGCAAGAAACTTGCAATTATGCATTTGTAATAGCAGTATTAATTAACAATCAATACAATTAGTAAGTACTGCACCAAAGAAATAAATGTTCCCATGGAACAAAAACATAATAGAGATTTTAAAGAATATATATTTTAACGGGAAACTTTTTTTTTTTTTTGTAATTCACTCTTAACAGAGAAAACTCTGCCTCTTCATTTGAAAATATGAACATTAGATAAAAGAGCCTGAAATTAAAAAGTCCATGAAATACATAAAGTAGCTTTATAAAATAAAACATCACAAAAAAAAAAAAACTTTGATGAATAAGTAAATCTCAAAGTTCATAAATCTTGAAATAAATACACACAAAATAAAATAAGCTACCTATTTAAAAAAAACGAATGATGATATTTAGCTGATAGAATATCTATTAATTATCTAATAACAGTATTTATTTAATTTTGAATGAAACAAATCTCCACAAATTAAATAATTTGTATTAAAAACGTCAGTGACTATAGCATGGTAGCGATCCAATCAACACTCAGCCTACATCCCATAATGTTAACCACGTAGACACTGACAGTACTTAAGTTAAACCCAGCAAATAAAAAGTGTCACTCAGATTCAGACTCATCTGAACGTTTAAATGTCTTCTGGTTGTTTTTATATTCTATTAAAATGTTCTGTGATGCATATCGTGAGGTTTGGTTATCACTAGACTTCAGAAAGTCTGAAATTTACACAACTTGAAGGAGGCAGACCTGTAAGTGTTAGAGGAACTATCTGTGTGTGTGTGGGTGTGTGTGTGTGTGCGTGTGTGTTTTAACTTGGGAACACTGAGGGATTCCCCAGAGGGAGGAAGTGGAGAGATGGATGTCTGGGTTTCGCTCCTGAACCGTTTCAGTATTACATGGTGGTGCTCAGTTAATGTAACTGAGCAAATCCAGGAGGATAACACATTTTAACACAAGAAAAGATGCTTTTAACACGGTTCTTCACATTTGTCACCTTCAGGTTTATTTCCATTGCATTTAACTTTGTTTAAAGAAAACAACAACAACAAAACATAGTAGATATTTGGCCCAGAAAAATCTCCAGCTAGTAATTTTACTGTTACTGAGACTTTGTGGAGGTAGAGTGCCGAGCATTTGAATATGACTGAAATAATCTGCTCATGGTGGATACTTTGTTAACTTTGACTGTAATTGATTTTGAACCAGTAACATCTGCAAAGAAAGAGTAAATCATCCAGTTAAAATAATATTTCAACATTGTATCTGTGGTCTATGCTTCTTTGGAACGTTCCTCTCAGGGTTTTATTTAATATTTATTGTTCCTCTCATTTTGTAGTGATCGTAATTCAATTTCACAGCACTAAGACTGACAATACCTAAAGTTTACAGCTAGAACACCTGCTATTGAATCCATCCTCTTGTATCCTAAAGACGCCTCAAAACTGAGAGCAGAGAAGTCTGCACTGGTGATTTTCTTTTTAATTTGTCACAGATTTGTTGACGGCAGAATCAACTTATTGCTGAGGATTTTATAAAATAAACATGTCTTCCTCTCAGCCAATGACTGAACAATGCTTCAGTCTCTCCTGTTGGGTTGGGAGGAGTTAGAGTTAATGTTAAGACTGCTGACAAACTGACTGGCCCGCAGAAATGGAGGTTCTGAAGAAAAAGCTTCATAACGACCTACATATTTAGCCAACTTATGTATTTGCTTTTTCCAGAAAACATTAAAAGTTTAATTTTAATGCTCCAGATTAAGTGTTGCAGGAGTTCAGTCCTAAAGTTCCTCAGAGGTAAAGAGGTTATAAAATTAGTTATTCAGAAAATAGGTTGGCCTACACTTCTGTTGCAGCATGCAAACTTTCATTGGTGGAGATAGAGCATTTGCATAGAGTAACATGAGAGTATTTGATTGACATTTGTTTTTCAGGTCTGAAGTTTTCCTGACTTGTGATCACAAAACTTTGACATTTAAAAAAAGTTCCAGGATTAACCAGTCTAATCAGGCCAAAATAAAAAAATAAAAAATAAAAAATCTTTCAAAACCAAACTTAACTCTCACCACCAGATATGCTTTATTAAATCAAACAATGAAAATACAATGTTCTACTTTCTTGCTTTCACTACCCACTTAAGCTTACACAGGTGATGGTGGGGAAGCAAAACACCTAAAAGACAGTTGTTTTTTTATTAAAATAAAACCATTTACATGTAAGACATGAGACAGCACTGGCAGCTGAGGTGAATACATTTAGAAAGACCTTCTCATAATCATGTGGCAGTGTCAACATTTAAATTCAGTACAAAGTTTTGCCTACAGAAAGCAAAAAACTGTTGCAACATTTCAAACACTTAACAAAATTAGATTAGATTAAGTAACAATACAGCTGACATTCATTTTGATTTCAAGGCAACTTGATGCTACAGATAAATAGAGCTGCACAAGTCTGGCTTTTACTGGCCTGTTACTCCAAATTCTTCCTCTTATTCTGCAAGACTACGAGGGTAAAGTTAGGTGAAACACAAACAAAGTATACTCAATTAAATACTTTGTCACAAAGTACTGCAATGATCAGTAGCTGTCTTTCCATTGCAAATGTGTGCAAAACCTTGCCAGAAAACCCCACTTTGCATTTGCAATGTACTCCACACATGTGGAAGGTAAGTGATGTCTAATTTCTGCAGTTTTTAATGCCTCGTAAAACGAGTTATCTAAAAATATTCCTCTGACATATTTCCTGCTTATTTAGCATTAAGCAGCCACATCAAGCATAGAAAAGTTTTTTTGCAACTTTTCATGTATCAAACATACCTGAAAAAAAGCAAACAAACAAAAAATAGAAAAAAAAAATATTGTGTTTTGATAATTTTCCTTCCAGTTAGACCATGGCGATCTGGCTAAGAAAACCTTTTTTTATATACCAAATTTTTGATTTTAATTGAAAGTTTTTTCCCCCCCAAATTATTTTCTCAAGAATAAATGACCAGTTACAAAAACATATTTGTGAAAACTGGCTTTAGTATCAGTCATCTGTTCTGTAAATTGACCTGAATTCAAGTTCCAAATAATTAGACGCTCACATGACTGAACTACGGAAACCCAAGGAGTGCATGTGTGAAAAAAATCCAGATTTTTCAACAATTAAATACTCAGAAACAAATACATTTGCTTAATTAGTCTGAGTTATTGCTCAGCCCTAGTTCCACTTCAGGTTAATCTAATAATAATCTAATCAAGCATCTGGTGGACGATGGGATGGAAACAGACGAGTCCTGAATCTGACCTGAGATCTACAAAAGTAATTCAGTGTGAAACTTGTGCAAATCCTATAATGTATAGTGTAGTGAGAGAGTCATTGCTCCCTTCCAGATTTCTTCTGTTTTTGTTTTTGTCACAAATAATTGTTTAAGATCAAGCAAATATAAACCAAGGATAGTATAAGTAGATATAATATGCCATTTTTAAATGATTGTTTCAGTTTCTAAGAAAAACAATCTATCCAAACCAACTTGGCCCTTTGTGAAAATAGAATCACGTCTCTTATAAAATAATGAATTCACTCACTTTTCCTCTTTTCACTTTTTGACAACATAAAAGCAGAAAAATCAGAAACCTGTAAAGGGTTCAATACTTTTTCACAGCACTGTCAAGTAAGAACTGGCATAGATTTCTTCTGTAAGCATCTTTGAAAAATGAGTGTATGTAAACATATGAGATTTTAATGGTTCTGAGATTTGAGCTTCTTTAACGCTCCATGTCAACACTCAAACAAAAGCTGAAAACATCTTAATTTAGTGTTGTTAAATGAATTAAATCACAGCAGAAAAACTGAAATATTCAAATGTTGTACAGTTGGTGAAATAGGTTGAAATGAAGGTTAGAACTACATGGAACAGAGATCAGTGAGAGAATAAAAAGAAACTAAATCAGTTCCAGGTCATTGTTGTCTTAGCAAAGCTCTGTTGGTAGATACATGTTGATGGAAAAAGGCTGAACTATGTTCTGAATCCAAAAGTCTTCCATTTGTGACTTCAATGTAAACTTAGAAACATGGCTTGTTTGGAACAAGGAGAAACTACAAAAACATGACTTCCTTCTGATTAAGGATGAATTCAAAGCAGTCCTATTTAGTCCACTTTAATTGAACTGGTTGGCTGAGAAAGCCTGATTCGTTTGAACTACATTTCTGGACAAATACAGTGAAATGAGCTTGAATTATCTTGTTTAGTAATTTTATATCCAATCAGATTCTTTCTCACTTTTGGTGCTACCAAGGAGACGGTCAGAGAAGTGGTGAACGCTGCCTGCTTCGATTGGCTGACGGCAAACATGGATTTTTTTAGAGAAGCTCCAGCTTCTGCTTTCAGAGGAAGTTCCCTAATATGTGAGGCCAAATATATCTCTCCCCACTCAAAGTTTCACTGAACTTGCTAATAAAATAAATCTGCCAAAGAGAACAGAAACTAGAGAAGCTGTACATAATGAAGAAATCCCTGGTTTCATCAGATAAAGTGGTTGATTTGACTTTTAGTGTGTCCTGTTCTTTCTCTAAAGACAAACTTTTCATTTCATGAGTCTGAGAGTTTGTGTGTAACAACAAGAGTGTGCTTCAACATTTATGAGTCAAGAACTTTCCTTCTGTTGAGTTTTGCTCTGCTCTTCCTTTCTGAGAACAGCTACATATCAGTCGTTCTTTTTTGTGTCGGTAAAAAGGTTTTACCTTCTCACTGTGGTACAGAGTAGTCAGTATGGTTGACCACTCCTGTAGAGGACATGGAGGGCCACTAACCCTCTGACCTGAAACTGTCTGAGAGCGTCTGGAGGACTGCTCCTTCGCTCCAGCTGGTTGAGGCTCCTAGTAGCTAGCTGTTGGGAGAGAAATTCATCTCCACTTGACTGAACGATGTGAGCCATTAACTCACTTCTGTAGCTAACCCGTACAATGCTACGTACATTTTGAGTAAAGAAGTTTGGCACTACACCGCTAAGGTTGTAGACAGACATATGCAGTATGAAAAGCACAAAACTGCTGCCAAGAGCCACAAGCAGACCCCAGAAATGTCACAGCTACCACTGGCACGGATTTAAAAGCAACATTTAGTGCGTCACAATCTCCGAAGTCAGCGGTTTATTGGATTTTAAACGTGGTAGTCAAGTACCAGTCTGACCTATTGAAGAATTTTATTTCAACCAGGTTGTTACTATGGAGGAAAATGCAGCGTAAAAGGATGACAACAAGAAAATGAGTGGAGCCTGGAGCCAATAGAGCCACAGATGCAGCCATGATGGAAAATAGGGACAAAGATTAAATGGAATAATGGTCAACGTCTTCAACTAAAGAACTAATCTGACATGATCCATCATTTATTTAACATTTCTTCTACAATGGCCATTTACATTTTATATAACCTCTGTTGTACATCTCTATTATGATAGAGCTCTTATTTTATTTTTTTAATGAGATAAGAGTTCATGAAGGAGATACAGAAACATCCCCATTGCACCGGGACAGGTGAGTTATAACGCAAACTTAACTGTTCGCTCATGTTCAATCCAATTAGTGTGTAGCAACTTGTATGTCCTCCAGCATACATGTATAGATCGGCGCCTAAAGATGGCAGTTTTAAGTCTTTTCTGTAAACCCAACTCCAAACTGAGGCCAACTGCTCACCGCAGGGACTCGACTGCTGTTCCTCTAGAGAGACAAAGTAAAGGCCTGGGTTGGTAGCGCTTCAGTTTGAACTGGCTCAGTGATCAACATCAGGAGAAACTCTCAAAATTGCTTTAGAAGAAAAAAAAAGTGGTGCAGTAAGACAGGTATTATCTCAGCGTTTGTTCGGTGATTAGTGGGAAAAACTTCACAGGCCCAAACTGTGAATCATTGAGACGCAGCGGAAGCAGAGGGCCAGGAAGCCGGTTCCCAGCAGGTCCCCCAGAGCGGTCAAGTACGGGATGGAGAAGTTGTCGGGATCCAGACTTCGTCTCCACATCAGACGGACGATGAGATCGGCTACGTATAGAAGAATGGCTACCTGAGAAAAACAAAAACAAAGGAGAGCGTTGGGAACAGCCTGCTTTTTGGGTATTAATAAGTCAGAGTTAAAGTTAGTAGGTACGGCTGCATCAATATAATGTTCCAAATTGCCTTAATTTTGGGAGCTTGGCGATTGGCTGATATTGACATGAGAAGTTGGCTCTATATTATTCACCAATATGGAGCCAACTTGTCACTGTATTATTTTGTGACTTATCAGACAAAAAAAAATCAAAAAAATCAGTAGGTTGGCTTTTTAAAAATGAGTGATGGTCCACAGAACTTCAATCGGTCCACACCAAGTAACATTTGATACCCAACTGGAGAAAAAGTATTCTTGAATTTTTTCACAGTTTGTCACGTTACAACTGCAAACCTCAACCTTTTTTTTTTTTTTTTCTACAAATCAAAATTTAAAAGGGTGGCATGAATGTGTATACAGCTACCCTGTGACTATCTTTTGATCTGGTTACAGTTACAAGTCTCTACTAGTTTTCCACATCTTCAAAATTTGCTCATACTAGGGATGGGCGATATGACAAAATTAGATTTGGATTTTTTTTTATTCAAAAGGTGTCAGGAATGTTGATGAGCTACTAAAGCAGATAGATTGCCAAAAAGGATCATTCTATTCATTTCAGTTCTATACTCTTGCTCAGATTAATGAATTTTATTTTACTTGTTTTCTTTCAACTTTAAAAAAAGAGCATGTGGCCGTTATGAAAAGGTTACTGGATTTCATGATAAGCTAATTATGTTTTATTTGATTACTTAATCATTTTGTTTAGTGGACGGATGCTAGAGTTGAAGGTTTGGATTGATAGGCTACAGATGAAATGCTTAGGTTTTCTTAGTTTAGTTGAAAATAAAGTTGCCATTAAAACTTAGCAACCGCATCCTCACAACACATGCCAGTGTGCGAGCATCCATCAAGTGGATCAAGTCAGACGTTTCACAGCAGATGTGAGAGCAGAAGTTGGTGAAAGAAATCAGGAGCTTATTAAAGTCACAGAGCAGCAACATGTCTAAGCCTCCAGAACTGAACAACAACACAGTTTTGTTTTCAGTGCTACAGAGGGGAACTTTTTTTTGACAGCGGTTATTGTCTCTGAGTCTGAATATGCCCAGCAGAACAGTCAAAACAATAACATCTAGTCAGTATTTACAGCGGGATGTGCCAAACCTTAGGACAATGAGTGAGGATTTTATTAACCCTCTCAGGCTCAAATTACTTGCAAAGACTAGCTAAGTAGCACTGAGCTGTTGCAAATCTGCAACATCTGCCTGGAGAGGGTTAATAATGAAGCAGATGTTAAAATGTTTCAGCAAGATCTTTAACATGTGAATATAAAAACCTGGCACGTGTATTGAAAAACAAACAGACAAGGATCAGTGTTAGTGGCCACTTTTCCAACACTGGACACCAGTCACCTCACAGTTGGGTAACAGGTGGTGGCATCCACTTTTAATCGGACTGTGAAAAGTATGTGATGTACCCTCAGACGGCTGCTTCTTGGTTCTCATGGGAAATCAGATCCACTGGGGATTTTGACGTTCACTTTGTAATGTATTGATATGTAAATAACGAGCGTTTTCTGCCACTTCAAGGTGTAATTGTGGCTTCGTTCACAAATGCACCTTGTCACACAAACGTTTTGATAAGTGAGGGCCAGTGTGATACCTGGAGCAGAGCCGCACACAGGTAGCAGATGGTGAAGGCTGTGGTGATGGGAGCCTCCTCTCCCTGCAGCAGAGAGATGGCGTAGAGGAAGACCAGGTGCCCGGGTACGACCAGCAGCAGCAGCACACGCGCTGACTTCGAGTTCACTCCTGGGACGCAAAAGACAAGACGGAGCGTTATTCCCTCTGCTCACCTCGCTGAGTTTCCTCTGATCTTCCTGATGTTCCCATGTCTGCTGCTCAAGATGAAAAACAGACAGTTTCTGTAGACAAGGAGATGAATCTAGATGTGTGGGGTTTTTTTTACATTTTCTGTACAAGTATTTAATATATGATCATAATATGAAGAAGCTGGGCATCTTCCTATGGGAATTATGGTTCTCAAAGATAAACTGGAATGAGCCATGATCGGTATTAGAAGGTTAAAACTGGAAATCATACATTGGTCACACACTCCTGCTCAATGATTCTATAATTCAGTCTTATTCTGGTTTTTGTCACCATAATTAAATGCTAATAACACCAAAAATGTGTCTTTAGTCATGTGAGTTCTGTAAGGAATATCAACATTAGAATTCCTTGCTAGTTTATCAGGTGAAAATAAAAATAATAATAAAAAAACACAGAGGTAAAACACCATAGGTCTCATTGACTCCGGCCAGACAAGCTGGTCTACCTGAAGAAAAGAAGCTGACGCAGGGATTGGGCCAGTGTTGGCTCATCTTGCTGGGCAGAACACCTGGAGCGCTCCAGATGTGAAGGTATGTTGAAATCCTGCTGGCCTGGATGGCCACCAGGTTTCCACCCACTCCTAACAACCAAGCAGAGCAGACAGTCACTGTTTGTATGGCAATAAACAAACAAAAACAGACACATTACACTACAGTGATGGGATAAAGACATTTATTTTCTAGTTAATAGTTAATAACAACAACAACAATAATAATGATAATAATAATAATAATAATAATAATAATAATAATAATAATAATAATAATAATAATAATAAAGATACATAAAATTACCAATTGTAATATTATGACTTTATTATCATATCATTTCAACTTCATTCCCGTACCACTCTTTATGCTCGTATTCAATCAATCAATCAAATTTTATTTGTATAGCACATTTCAGCAGCAAGGCATTTCAAAGTGCTTTACATCATAAACATAAGAACACAAAGTCATGCATCATGGAATAAACAACACATTGTTACATATTACATTTCAAATACAATTCTAAACAGGTGTGTTTTTAGTTGGGATTTAAAGGAAGTCAGGGTTTCCGCTGTTTTACAGTTTTCTGGAAGTTTGTTCCAAAGTTTTGGTGCATAGATGCTGAAAGCTGCTTCTCCTCTCTTGGTTCTGGTTCTGGGGATGCAGAGCAGAACCTGAACCAGAGGACCTGAGAGGTCTAGAAGGTTGATACAGCAACAGCAGATCTTTGATGTATTGTGGTGCTAAACCGTTCAGTGATTTATAAACTAACAACAGTATTTTAAAATCTATTCTTGAGCTACAGGGAGCCAGTGGAGGGACTTTAAAACTGGTGTTATGTCTCTATCTTCCTGGTTCTAGTGAGAACGTGAGCAGCAGCATTCTGGATCAGCTGCAGCTGTTTGATTGATTTGTTGGACAGGCCTGTGAAGACGCTGTTGCAATAATCAATGCGACTAAAGACAAACGCATGAATAAGTTTCTCTAGATCTGGCTGAGACATTAGTCCTCTAATCCTGGAGATGTTCTTCAGGTGATAGAAGGCTGACTTTGTAATCGTCTTTATGTGGCTCGCAAGGTTCAAGTCCGAGTCCATCACTACTCCCAGGTTTCAGGCCTTATTGCTAGTTTTTAGTTGTAATAACTGAAGCTGTGCATTGACTTTAGATCGTTCCTCTTTAGGTCCAAAAATAATGACTTCAGTTTTGTTTTTGTTCAGCTGGAGAAAGTTTTGGCACATCCAAACATTTATCTGTTCTAAACATTTATTCAGTGATTGGATGGGTTCAGAGTCACCTGGTGACATCGTAATGTAGAGCTGTGTGTCATCCGCATAGTTGTGGTAGCTAATATCATTTTCTGTTATGACCTGAGCTAGTGGGAGAATATAAATATTAAATAAGAGGGGTCCTAAGATTGAACCTTGTGGTACCCACATGTGTAATGTCACACATATTTTCATAATTTTATTACTTAATTTTTATACTTGTTGGTATAAATGAGATATTTTTATTGGATGATGTCTGATGTGACAAAGAGGAACTCGGGTTTTTTTTCTGACAAAGCACATTTACAAAATCACAGATCAGAAATTGGCCACAAAATCTGTGATCGGTGCATTTGTGCATATTCCATTTCAGTATAATTTCTGCTGAATTAACAATAAAAAAAAATAAAATAAACCTTTAGAGAATTTAAAAAAGGCAACTCTTGACATCACATTTTATCCAAAGACTGACCCCAGACACATCCTAAAGGAACAGTTTGAATCCTTCTCAGTGGAGCGTCGCCGTATGGAGACAGGTTCCTCGGCCTGCAGCAGTAAAAGCTGCTGCAGTTCTGCAAAAACCATTATGTGTCAAACTCTGCATAAAGCTGTCTGAGCTGCATTAAAGAAGACGTTTTCACTTGTTTTATTGTGCCACAGATGGCCAGCAGTTTTTGTCTTTCAATATGACTTTATTTGGTCTGAGATCATTCATTAAGCTCATCACTGCCTTACCTTTAATACTCATATTCATTTTAATGTTGACAAGGGTCTCTGAGCTTAACACATTTATGTCAGACACATTTCCAAGGACCTCAAACTTTTAACAATGACAGATGGGTTTTAAGGAAAATGAGAAATAAAAAATCTGCCTGGTTTTATAAGCACATCAGAGGAAATTTGAACCAGATTGGCAAACTTGGAATTGAGCTGAGAGGAAGGATAGAGAACCAGAGTGGAAACTAAATGAGAGCGAGTGACAGGCTGAGTGGCTGGTTATTAAAGGCCCTGTCAGCTGTGTGGGGACTCTGGCTGTGCACCATCAGTGGTTCACACTGACTTCTCTCCTATACTCAGAGGATCTCTGCATGCATCGCCTCACAGCCAAACCTCTCCATTACAGGCCTCTTTTTTTCTCCTTCACTTGCCTTCACTTGTGCTTCAGCACATTTCTTCCAACTTGAAGCTCCAGAGCCTTACATAAGTATTTGTTTTTCCACACATGGTCACTTTATAGTTCCAAACTTCAATGTATTTTATTTACTATTTTATGTGACGACAAGGCAACAAATAACACACTGTCATCCCAAAGCGTCATGTACAACGGTATGGAATGAAAGAACATTTTCAAAAATGCTCTGCAGCTCTGCAGAGTTGACTTCCTGCCAAAATGTTACAAAACATAAACCACATGCTGTTTTCATCACAAATATGAAGAGAATTTTGATATTCTGCTAATTTTGAAAAACAAAAAACACAATATCATGATTTTGCAGAGCTTCCATTAACTAAAATCACACATGGATATGTTTACTCAGGCGAAAACTCTTTTTGTGAAATACATCAATTTCATTACGGCCAAAAAAAACCACCTCACCCTATGCGAAATGCGAAAACATTTGATCAAAGCATTTGTTTTTTCGAAATTGAGGTGTTTACAATAAGCCAATTTATTTTCAGAATACCAATTTGTACTTTTTTAGTTATTTTGGTTATAAGAACCTGAAGCTGGTTTTTTAACCAAGCCAAGTGTTTTTATTTATTTTTTATCACTTTTGGCAAAAATTACTTCATATTTTGATAAAATGACGACGTAGCTTTTGGCAGAATCTTACCACAGAGAGTGGAATTGTTTCATATGCGTACACGAGGCACATGTAAATTATGTTTTATGTGCAACGTTTTGGCAGGAAATTAATCCCAAATTTTGATACACCTAAATAAAATCCCGGGCAGAAATTCAGATGTCAGCTCAGGAATCCCACGCATGTAATGGAGATCCAGGATCAATCCATTCCAATGTTCTGCAGTTGGAGCTTCTCAAAATGCTCCATGCTGCTGTTTAGATCCCAGCAGCTCTACATGGTTCAGCATCACTGACTTCAACATGCTTTCATATTGGTGCCAAATGTTTCCCAAAGCATCATGGATGACTTCAGATCTCTCTTTTGCCTCTCAGACAACATATGGTTTCACTTCATCCCACAATTGCAATTTAAATCAGAAAAAAACGGAAATGCTTGAGTTGGGGCAGCATTGCAGGGTACAGCAGCTCAAAGCTATGGCTGCTTTCAGCTCTCATCTGGTGGTTATGAGTGTTGCTCACGTCTATTTCAAACTCAAAGATTAGTTTTATTCCATTTTAATGCTAATTGCAGGTTTGATGATGTTTTATTTTTATTACAGTCCTCCAATGCTGCTGGAGTGTTAAGAGGAATAGTTATGCCTGTAAAAGTATGTACATCCCTTTAATTTGTTCATATTCTGTCACATTACAATCATAAGTTCAACAAATTTTGGGAATTTTATGCGCTAGACATAAAATTGTATAATTGTGAGGAGGAAAGAAAATATAAATCAGTGTTAAATTAATTTTGAATCTCAGTATAATATTCAATTTGCCCAGAGTGTCTGGATGTTTCTAGAAATTTTTTATGGTTTGATCATAATTCAAATATTGTGTTGCTAGCATCTTTCAGCAAATTGAAACGGTTTTGAAAATCCATAACTGGATTCAGTAGAGAAATTAATCTACACCAATATGTAATATATTAGAAAAATATATTAAGACTCAGTGGTTCAGTGAACTCATGAGCCCTATAGCAGAGGGAAACATTGGCATAGAGCTGGAGACGCTCTGAATTCTTCCAAAATGATATCTAGTCACTAAGAAGATTAAAGAGGTCTCCTACTAAAAATATATTCATAAAAATCTACCCTGCTAAAATGAATATTGATTTTGGAGTCAAGAGAAAATTGGACATAACTGCACATTTTGTGATTCCTGTCCTGCACCCTGTTGTGGTTCTGTTCTTTTGTTAAGGTTGTTGGCAGAATATTAGTGCTTTAGCATTAGCTTCCACTAAATAACATGTTGGTATAGCACTTTAGCAATGACAGAACTAATGTTCAGCGTTAGTGCAGCTAACGTTTTAGTGCCCATGACCGAATTTTTGCTTCTCTCAATGTATTTTAAAACAACAGTCATTTTAAATGCACCAATCCTGTGAGTTCAGAAATAAAATAAGTCGGAACTTAAGTAAGCCATTTACCAAAATGTGAGGAGCACAGAGGAGAGATGTCACAAGAAAAGAACCTTACCGTTAATAACAGGTGTAAAGACAGCCATCCCCTCAAAGTTGGGGTCACTCACTGTCTTGTCCAGGATAAGGCCCCCAAAACTGAACAATGAGAAATCAGAGCCATGTCAGTTACTATGTAACTGGTACTTAATTTTTACATTTTTGAATTTTCACTTAATCTTTGTATGTAATGACTCTCTGTAAAATTAAATTTCTCAGGAATTCTTATCTATTTTCATTTGTTTCTACATTGGGCTAAAGAAACTAAAACTTATTGATATGACATTAATGAATTAATAACTTCCTTAAGCACTGCAAAACATATGACTTCAGGTTTCTGTTACATTTGTCTCAACTAAACGTGGTCTTAATGCTAACGCAGCATTGGAAAAGCTGTTTCCACAAATTTTTTTTTCTTCCACTTAACTTTCCAATAAGGTTTCATAAAATATGTTGGTCTACTAAAGAATTACTCAATTAAGTTGTGATCACTCTATTTAAGTTTATTTTTAAAAAATATATATTTATTCCAGTTTTCTTTAAGTTGTTGATATATTTATTTGACTCATTGCGCCCCCTCCTGTCCATTACCCTGGACATAAAGCCATATCACCCAAATCAGAAACAGCTCCAATTTCCAGGATGACTCTACTTTGAGTCAATTTTGCTCATATTAAACATCAAACTACTATCACTCATTTGACCTAATGTTTTTTGACACATACTGTGTTGTCATAAATGAGGTAAAATGATACTGAGTGTCCCTGCAACAAAAATGAGATAAAATGGATCATTATACATATGGTGTTAAAAGTGAGACCTCATATGGGTCAGTTACCTCCTTTGAGCCCATTTTTATCATAATAGTTAATTTTTTACAGATCTTTGCTTTTTTGCCTCTTATTTTCACTCTATTTCAGAAACATTTTCAGAACGCTGTCTTCTTTCTTTAGGTTAGTTATAGCCGTTTTTACCCACAGCAGCTAAAGTATTTACAATAACTAGTCACTGAGATTTACAGTCAGTAGTAAAACTGAGTTTTAACCTCTGCTTCATTTGAAGCAGAGGTTAAAAACTTCTGCTCAGTGCTGCAGCTTCAGCTTTACATGGCTGAAATAAATAATGTCATTTGTACCTGCTAATGGACATGGCTACTATGACAGGCTGCCAGCCAGAGCGGAGAACCTCTTTGATCTGCGGACTCTGTCGGGCCAACACCACCCACAGCGGGATCAGAGCCAGGAACATCAGGCACACCGACGGGGACAGGTACCAGAGGTCTGAGGGTCCAAAGACAGAAAACCAAACCGCAGCTCATCTATCTGCGCTAGGATCGCTGTCCAAGCACAGTGCAGTTCTAACATGTCAATTACACTTTTTTTTCTTCCACTTAACTTTCCAATAATTAGTTACAGCAATATTACCAATAAATATGTAAGCTATATTCTGGTCATAATATAATATTATATATAATAAATATTTTTATTAGTATTATCTAATAACTGTGGAATTAAACTGACTCTGCATAATAAACCTGAATAAATTCAGTTCAGGTTTAACTGAATTGTTACTTTAGATCAACTTTTGATGCTCTATTTCACTGACACACACACAGCTCATGTTTCTGACTGAAATGAAACCTGCTAGATGCTGCCATCTTGTGGTGTGATCCGGAATAGTCCAGAGGAAGCTCTGAGTCTCTGACCTTTATACTGGTAGAGCGTGCTGCTGACCCCGGCCAGCAGGGACAGCGTGATCAAATCCCCCAGGCTGGCGGCGATGGGCGTGGCCACATTGTCCGGGTTGATTCCCACCTTCCTGGAGCCGATGATCACTCCTATCATCACCAGGCCTGCATGGGAGGCAGACACACGCAAAGCAGAGGCAAAAGTCTAATGTTGAAAATAAGGTTTACATAAAGCAGAAAAAGAAAAACCTTTTATCAAGTTGGTGAAAACCTGTCAGAGTTGATAAACTTAATGATGCCTGATTTTATTGATCTTTGCAATAGTAGTTATAGATATTCTTGTGAAAAGAGAAAAACTAAAGGTTTGAATGTATTCATTGCAACCATCAATGAGTGAATAAAATCAATAGATTAATTTATTTAGTCATTATCTTTGCCAGCATATGAATCAGCAAAGCAACTTTGTGACCACATGTCTTAAAATAAAACTTGTGGTACAGCTTTACAACGCCATAAGTATTTTATTAATAGTGACGTTGCATGTTATTGTTTAAATCTGGACGTTTAGTGCATGCATACAACACTGGCACAGACAGAACACCAGCAGTAGCAAAATTCAACAAAATGAAACCTGGAGATGTAGAGATTACTTATTTGAGGAGAAATGATAGCAAGACAGGTTTGAGGGGGAAGTGATCTTCTGTGTTCAGATGATCACTTATTAATTATCCCAAAATAATAATCCAGTTTGTAACAAGTTGTAACAAACTGAATGTTCTGTTCTTTGTGTAGGAAATGTTTGAGTGGTTTTTGGAGTTAAATCCTGAAATATACTATATTGTAATATTGTTTACCATGGCAATGGACCTGCATGTAGCGCAGCTAACACTTAAAAGAGAAGAATATGAGTGGTTTGGAGTTCTATTTTGCTGATTTTTTTTCTATGTCACGTTTCCCTTTTCTGTGTTGAACTACACTAAAAGAGCCGTAGCTTTGTCTTCATTTAGTTAACATTTAGTTGTTCCACCGCGGCATCGCGGATACAGATTAGGAGTAAAAGTATCGTTTAACCCTCCAGCACCCAATGACTGAACTGATCTGTGGTTTAGAGGATCCCCACATACCCAGGGACAGAGCAGCTACAAAGGCAGTGGTGATGCTGCTGGCACACAGGACGGCCGCCTGGTCCAGCTCTACTCCTCCTCTGGAGATCGCACCCAAGCAGACGGCTGCCACTGCCGCCAGGAAGCCGACCACCGTGGCCTGGACCTGCACAATTCATCAAAACCCGTCTTTATCGTTCGATCAAAGCGCTGAAACATGCAGCGCCGCCTATGAAGAGGATGTTACCTGAATGAGAGCCAGGTTGCTGCACACCATGGTCCATTGTTTGTCTGGATCATCCATTTGGCCTGTGTTGGCCTGCAACCGACAGGAAACACTCATCTTTTCCAGTGTCATGGAAATGATTGTTTTTGAACCATATACTATGTTTGTATGAATGATGATTTAGGCAACTGAAAATAAATAAACAAAATTGACTTTAATCTCAGAATTTTTCTCAGAATACTGACTTTTTGAATTCTGAGATTAAAGTCACATTACAAAGAAAAATATTCTGAGTTTACGAACAGAATTATGATCTCAAAGTCAAAGTTTTGAGAAAATTCTGAGTTTAAAGGTAGAATACAGGGGAAAAGGCCAGAAACTAAAGATCTCATCAAGCTGTCATAACTTCATGATCAGGATGGTGTATCAGACGGAGGTGGAGCTGAATGACTAGAGTTAGAAGAAAAGCGGTTTGTTCTTACGGCGGTGGAGAGCCGCGCAGCCAGGGTCATCTCCAGGTTTCCTTTGAGGCCGACGAGAGCCGGAACCAGGATGAAAACCTCCGTTATCACCTTGAACACCTCCCAGTGCTGGAACACACATTCACATGGGAAACTGGATTTCAAACAGTTACAGAGCAACAGAATACTCTGTAATCATCAAACATCTTTGTGTCAAGATAAAGATGTTTGCATCTGGATCTGATGTGGTCAAATAAGTCATATTGCTAATAGGTATTCTGAGCTAAGCTAGTGGCCTACTTTCTGGGTTGATGAGTATTATAATGCAGGGAGGCAGGATGATGTTGTCTGAGTGTTGGCAGGTCCAAGATCTTTAAATAATTCAGATATGAGCAGAAAAAGAAGACATAATGGTCAGGGAGGAGAAACGGACAGTGAAAAGGAAAGTCTGCAAATGCATGAAAGCTGTAAAGGAAAAAACAGGCTTCAATAGAAAATGCAACATAGGCATAAATGAACTAGTTTGTCCTGAAACCTATATATTGTAAAACATGGTCTTATTTTGGTAGAAATGACAACAATGTGTGCAGCTGTTAGAATATGTTTCTAAGATGGATAGTAGAAAAAGAAGTCAAGAAAAAAGTGAAACTCTGAGGTTAAACAGCTGATAAATTCACTTCAATTCAAAAATCCTTTACGTATCACAAAGGGAAGCTAAATGCTGTCGTTCCTCATATTATCCAGGTATCAAAGAGTCGTTGATGGTTCTAGTTCACTCAAAATACTTTACTTGGAAGGTGTTCTTTCAGAGCCTTACCGGCATTTGAAATCATTCTACAAAGATTGTCTTTCCAGAGAATATAATATGCTCAGCTTGCACATGCTCAGTGCAAACCTCTAAAAGCCCAGCAATAAAGGCTGAGTAGGCTGACTGACAGTAGCACTTATAGCGGTTTGTGTTGGGTGTGCAGTGAGACTGGTGAGCTTATATCTCCTCCCTGCATGATCTGGACTGCGCTTGGCTCTGTGTCTGCACTTGCTAATTGGTAAAGTGTATGTAAATGAGCTACAGCACTAGCCAATCACAGACCGGTCTTCTTTATCCGGTCAGATTATGTCCTTCAAATACTGTATTCATTTGGATAAGTCACAACCAGCAAACCATTTTTAAACTAAACAGCAGGATTTAGAAAAACACAATAAAACTTCATTCAATAAATGTGTTAAGTTTGTACATATTCAAGCACACATGTAATATTCAAGTATGCTTGAATATTTAGGCAAGCATAAACATTTGTTTACTCATCATTGTCCATTTAAGATATTTATTTTGTTTTACTTTTAAATGTAACCATCATTCCATAGCTTGTTTTAATATCCACTGGTTGATTCCTAACTTACTTTGCATAGAGTAGTTGGTGCTGAAGTATTGCCAGTAATGTCTTCCAATAACACATAATCACCTAGTCATATTTTCACACTTCCTGTTAACTTGTAATATTTGTTAACACACAAACATGGACCGTCATATAATTGATGAGTGTTTTTAGAAGGGGTATCAGATATTCATAAATTCAGGTGTTCGTGGACACGAACACCTGAAGAGTCCCGAACTCTTCCAAATACTGGGTGTACCGGCACCGAAATGAAGTAAGTTTTGAAACATTTTGACTGTATGCTGTACATCAATTTCTCATCCCCCCAAAAGGGAAAATACATTTCTAAAGTCTATTTCATACTTGCATAAGGTCCATTAGGATCCCAGCAGAGACCATTCCGAGTCCTGATATCAGATACGGCACAATAACCTGCGTTGCGATGAGCCAGGAGCTCTCTGGCAGGAAACCATGTTCAGATCGAGTCAGCTTCCATGTCACGCCACGGAGCTTCTTGTCCTGGTAGCGAAGCTCCAACTCAAGACGAGTCACCACCATGTCGATGGGGATCTGGAGGTCACTTTGAGATAAGATATCCCATATTGAGAGAAACTTCAAGCAAAACACGAGTAGTGTTCCCTTCCTGTATGTCCAAAATAATCTTGGATTGGGTCAGTAGTCCACTTTGTCTGGCAAAATCAAAGTTAGAGGTTTTAAATCAAAATTTAGGGCATGAAGTGAGGCACTCTTGGCCAGGTAGTGAGTCAGCAGTGACGACGTACCTATCTGTCAGCCTTACTGGAGAACACATTCATTAACACCATTTCTGATTTATAGGTCACGACATTCAGTGAGCGCTGGTGCTAAACATCAATGTCTAAATTCTTGATTAAAAGGTACATTTACTCCAACATGTCAGACAGAGAGCGTGAAGACGATCCATCAGCTGTCGAAGAGGTCTGACTGAGCTCCTGTTGCTCTCAGATCACTTTGATTAACTTCACAGAGGGAGTTTATTAAGTTGAGATGTAAATCCTCCTGATCCGATCTGAAACACATTTGACCTCCATCTTTAAAGCAAAGCTGTATCCTGCCACTGGTGTCAGTTGCTCTGTGAAAGAAGACGAGGCATATTCCCAGAAGATCTTAAGAGTCGGAATCAGTCTGTTGTCTGATTTGGCCAGGCTCAAAATGAGGGTCAAAATGACAAACCAGGGAGTTCTGTGAAGCCGGTGAAAGATCCAGTGAGAGGATGGAGCAGCCGGCTTCTGGCAGACACGAGTGCCTGTTTCCTCCTGTCGGCATCAGTATATCCTGCTCATTGGTGACGTAGCGCGAAAGAGGCAGGGCTGTCTGGACGGTACAAACTCTGGAGGGAAATGACTTGCTTCCCCTCCGCTCTCCTCCTCTTTGCTCCTCACTGTGTGTCAGCCTCCTCCTCCTCCTCGCCATGTGACACCTCCCCCTCCCCACATCGGACGGCCATCCTTGCATTGCTCCCTCTCTCATCCACCTTGCTCTGATCTTGCTCTCCCCGTATCGTGACTCATTCTTTCTAGTCATCTAATTGTTTACGTCACTACCTCATATCCACCTGCTTGTGCACATCACGGAATGCACATCTTCTCGTGTGACACCACAAGACCGAGGAAACACACTCAGTGTACAGCAAAACACTGACCTCATTTCAGCAGCTCAGCAGAACTAAAACTGATTTGAAAAGCACTTTTTCAGGTCAGAACAGGACTGGCTGACATACTGTACAGTAACAATATGTTAATAATAGCACTTCATAGCACCTTATAGAGTTCAACATTATTTTATCCATTTTCTTTTTTCTATTTTTAGTCACTATATTTTCCACAAAACAATCGGTATTACATTTATAGGGAACTCTAGATGTTAATGTTGAGGAGCAATAATTGTCACAATCACAGAAGAAAGGCTGTAAGTTATAATTTTCAAGAATCTTTCATGTCCACCTGATTCCTGGAGGTCCTGGGATGACCTTCAGGACCTGGAGGTCATACCCCAGTTTGTTACCACAAACAAACTGTGGTAAATCAGTTTGTTTAGTTAAAGCTAAGATCAGCTCTCTGCCATACAGTATTGTGTGGGTTTATGATTGTGAAATGCTGAATTACACATTAGATTGATGCATTCTATCAGGAGTACATCAATGTATCTAAATCATGTCACAGATATTTATTGTCAACCATTTTGTAAATGAAGTTTTTCTTAAAGAAAATTATACATGTCTTAATAAAGAGGATGTCCTATGTATGCTAGTCTTTAGCCACTCTAGTGCTAACACAGGCCTATGTGTGCTAATGCATAGCAAGAGAAGAAAGCAATCCAGTGGGTTACCAGCGTAATCATGCTAGTTGGTAGCTTAGCCAAAGAGCAATACTAGCTTATCCAATGTTACCATCAGCCTTATCAGTGCTAATGGACAGCAGATGAAGAAGGCGACCAGCCTTTGCATGCTAGTCACTAGCTTCTTCAATATTAACACAAGTGAGCAGATTATTTTTCTTTTACCTGAATCAGCCGTTCAGTTGCTAGTGCCAGCCTATCATTCTTCAGATCAGTAGCTAGCTTTTGGCCCTAATGCCACAGCATACTTATGAAGCAGCTGGCTCACTCTAGATATGTTTCTTAATTCTTGTCTGTTATAATAATCACACATGTTCCCTGTCATGTGTGATTATGTCATGTGTCATAATCACACATGACAGGAAATTACCACTTAAACATAGTGGGATATATAAGTGATGTTTCTCATAGATCTAAAAGCATAAAAACCACCAGAAAAAAAAAAAAAAAAAAGGCCATATTTTTGGGGTGACGACCCTATCTTTGGATTGATGTGACCAAAGCGTCTCATTTAAGATGTAAAATTGAACTATACAGTCAAACTATACAGTCAATCCTTTCCGGCATGAACACGGAAAGAATTGACAGATTGATAGCTTTGTGTCCTGCAAATCACATTAGTTCTCGCAACAAAATAAACCCTGAAGTTTATTTTGTATCCAAAAAATAACTTTTCCAAAAGAATGCACAGGAATGAGGAATTATGTAAGAAGATCTTCAGAAGTCAGAATCGAACTTCTGAAATTCAAACCGTTACAAAAACTGGAAATCCAAAAGTAAAGATGCTGAATCTATAATTGTTGCCACAGTAATTTCCAAGAACAACACTTAAAAAGAACAACTCACTGCTTGAGCTAACATAACTGTGAATTTTGATTATTGAAAGAATATTTAGCTGGCTAGCTATCAAAGGAAAGATGTATCATTTTAAAGAGCAACATGTTATCATCCTGCAGTGTCAGGTTACAGAAAAAAAGCTACTTCACCTGCTCACTCTAATAATCCATATGCAATAAAATCACACAAATGGGCAAAGTCCATCCCACCCTCAGTCTTTTTAAAATTTGTTTGTCAAAGTAAAGCATTTATTGCCTGTTGGCTTCTGGGAGGCTTTCCAGCTGATGACATGTTTAGAGCTCATTTCAGCACAAGAAATTATGCTTTTATTAACCAGGAGTAAAACTGATGTGATGTTAAGTGGTCTATTAAAATCCAACAGATGTTTTCTTTTTTTATTATGTCTTTGAAGCAACAACAATTATCATCTGTGTTGTCCTGCTTAAAAACAGGAACAGCAGAAATATAAAAACAGCAAATTAAACTCCTGAAGGTTGCATATTGTTACATATGACAACAAATGTGGAATTAGCTAATCTGACTCTCTGGAATCAGAACCCGAACCGGTTTTAAATTTCAGTCTGATCGACACGTCCTTTAGTGTCTGCAGAGAGCTCTCAGCCAAAGTCGTGACTGATCAGCCGCCATTTATGCAGCGCCGTAACAGATATTGTACGCTGATGATGAACAGATGACGAGGATTTTTCAGGACAGACAGAGGAAAACAGAAGATGCAGAACAGTGAGAAGCAGACAGCGACGTGTCTGACTGGCCCCAACCAGCTGGCTTCAGAGCAGACACTGGGCACGCCCCGGTGACAACCACTAATCAAACAAAATGCCAGAGATTCCTTTACTTTACTGTAAAAAAGGTTTATTAGAGATTGGAGTTGCGTAATATTAAAAAGATTATATGATTGCTGCATTACTAATGAATGCTGCAAATGATGACATAAGTGGCTATTTATCCACATTTTCCTCATAATTGTCTGTCTTTTCCCATCATCATAATGGCATCATCATTCTCACTTTTATTCACTCAACCACTTTAATCTATATTGATTATTTGCTTCATGGGCAGTGAGTCCATCCAGCTGGATAACATCAGGCTGATCGCGCGTTCCTACACAACGCCGACTGATCTGTTCATGTACGTATTATGTTCATGGCGAGTGGAAAAAGAACAGGAGTACATTTCAGCCAAAAAATGATCTCTGAAATATTATAGAAATAAAAATGTGAAAATATTTCAGTTTGAAAAGTTGTTTTTTCATGAAAATTATTATTTTTTTTTTTTAAGCAAATTTTTGATTTTTATAAGTCAGATTTTTCTTTTTTTTCTAGAAAATTTCTGAGACTATCCCCAAACGTTTGGAGTTTTAGGGTAAAAAAATGTATTTATTTATTTTTTGAACTACAATGGCCTCAATACATTGTAGTTAATGACACAAGGGTCAGCACCCATAAAACACAGAGACATGTTATGAAAGGAAACAGTTCAAGCCTCTCTGAACACAAACTGTCTGGAATCTGCTTGGTCATCCTGCCCAGAAAGTCTGAACACACGATGAGAAGGAAGAGGCTTTTATTCCAGCAGGGGAATGCCTAACAAAGTTAAAGTGATGCCTGGAAAAGGAAGGATTGCACTGCACTACAATATCCTCCTTCACTGCCTTATTGTACAGTCTGTAACCAAACACTGCTTCCTTAATATCCCAGCTTTGATTAGCTGAGTAAATACACCACAGACCACTACATGGAACGTTCATTTTGATTCAGAAAAGCAGTTTTGTCCATTAAAAGATTAACCATAAATAAGTGGTAACAGCTACTTATGAGCTATTTAACTATTATATAAATAAACAATACTTTTATGCTTAATATGTTTAAAAAATGACTTCAGGAGAACTGCCACTTCTCATACACTGCTTCACGCCAAAAGTAATGTGTTTTTACCTCTAATTTGTGGTGAACAAACAAAATGGCAATTAACTCAATTTTTATTGTTAGTGGTGAACTGGTGGTATCCAATAAATGAGACCAAAGCAAACGCTATGGTGGTGAAACAAAGTATTTAGTCCCATGCACATTTCTCCTGTTCCCAGTTTTAAAATCAAACAAACACAACCTGAGTAAATACAAAATGCAGTTGCAAAATGATGATTTTGTTTATTAAGGGACAACAAATACCCAAACTAAATGTAATTATTCTTCTTGTTAAATCATTTAATTAAATTAAAATACATGTTATTGATTCCAAAGGGAAAATAAATGTTGATGTTCCTCACAAAGAGATGTAGATTCTGCTGGATTCTAAACCAACCTGTACATTGTCCAGCACCATGCCGGCCATCACCATCCCCATCCCAGCCAGCAGGTAGGGGAAGAGCACCTGGAGACAGATAGCAATGGCCGACTCCTCCACTTTGGGCCTCTCCTCTGGCACCTTTTTAGGGGATGGCTGGAGAAGCTGGGATGATATGAGGTCATCTTGTGCATCTAGGACGTTTGGAAGACGGGCAGTGGGACTCCCAGTAGGACTCTTCCTATTGGATCGGGACTTTTTGTTCTTCTTCCTTTGCCGGGTCTGTTGTGGTTTATCATCACCAGGCATGGCGGCTGCGGCGGTTCTGACCAGACAGGTTGGGTTGATTTAATCTAAAGGATACAGTCAGAGTTTGAAACGATTGTTTTTTTTGTTTGTTTTTTTTTTTTTTAAGTCTCGCAGTTGCTAATCCTAAATGTTAAAAACCTTTTGGACACCAATATCTGTATTTTCAGCTCAGCCTTACTAAGGTTCCCAATAGCAGCATGTAAACATGTCTTCCAGTCTAAAGCAGAGGTGTCTAAATTTTGCACCACAGATGCTCACAAACTACTTGTTTTAAAATCACAATTGCAAAATCTACTTTACCTGCTCAGACGAGCCAAATACTGAAAAAAACTGAAATTATAATTGTTGATTTATGAAATCTATCGAACCTAAAAGCCCTGGGTATATTTGGTCCAGGAGTGTGATGACTATCAGGGATGTTTTCTAGTGTGAAGAATGAAATAAAGTTTCAAATACAAAACATGTATTTTTACAAAGCATGTAAAAAATACACACATGTATTTTTACAAAGCATGTAAAAATAATAATTAAAAAATTATAATTTAGATTAAAAAACTGTGTTTCCATCATTAAAAATAACTATTTGACTTTTATGACATAAAATCATTTAAAAATGGTCAAAATCAGAATCAGGTAGATCAGATGATCCTGAGGAAAAACAAAAATCAGCGTCAGCTAAATCAGCTTTCAGGCAGAAAAAGGGCTGATCTGTGCATTTTTTGTCTTATTAGCTGAAAGCAACAATCAAAGTTTTGCAACGGCCTAGTCAAAATTAGCAGCTCATCCTGATTGAGATGTTGTCTCAGACTATTATAATTTCTGTGGATGAAGGAATACCTGGAAACCTTAATGGAAACAAATCCTCCACCATGAAGATGGTCAAACACAACACTTTCTACACGACTTTCTCAATCTATTGATAAACCAATACTTTACAATACTGATGTAACGGCTACAGTCCCAGTATTTGTGTCGAATTGAAACCTGGTCAAGGTGCGTTAATGTTCCTTAACGTTTATTCTTTGTTGACTCGTTCAAGCTGCCAGAAGAATCAATAAAAAGGCGGAATAAAAACATCAGTACACACACATGTCCACAAGGAGTCGCAGCACCTCCCGCGGTGTCCCGAAAGCTCCTGTAACACCGCGAAGCTTTGAAGGTTTCCTCGTTTTGTTTTCTCACATTCCTTCATTGAAAGCTGCCATGTGTACATCCCATAATGCATCTGTCACGGTAACCACGGTTACACAGCCAGGCGGCCTCTGGTTGGAGCAGATTTGGTGGAGTGAAAATTTGTTCCGCAACGTGTCGAGTCAGCGTGTCAGTTGCGGTATGGCAAGCCAATTTATCATATAACAGCATGCTTATTTCTGCGCTCTTCACAGATCCCTGGGCTTTTTAAATAAACGTGTTCGAGAAATTTAAACGAAGCAGAATTAACTTCATTTGTAAAATTTAGGATACATATTTCTATTTGTTGCACAAATGAAGATATTTTAATTTTGTACTTTTTTCTATAGTATTTTTGCTGTGTATATTTTGGTGTTTTCTATTTGTTGCAGGTACACTCTGACTTTCCTCATTGTTGGCACAAATCATTTTAAATGTCCCATATAAAAACCTAAAATATAATTTAAAATATAAAGAAAAGTATTTAGTGGTTACACTGCTTTCACTTTATGCATATGAACTGTTTGGCCCACATGTATACAGCCTTATTGAGAACCCCATGGTTGGGCTCTATGTTGGTCAGTAGAAACCACTGACCTTTTTGGCAGGAACTGCAGTGATTGATTTCTCCAATGACAGTATTGTACATTACTTTACCCTGCTTGCTGCAGTGACGCTGCTTTTAGACTGTAGCTCAACACTCACTCAACATGCGTTCAACAACTCGTGGCTTAAACATTCACTACTTCTACCGCACACTGAACACAGAAATCCATCAAACAGTTTTCCTTTAGCTGGAGCTGTACTGCCGTTATTGTTCAGTCCTACCGTTTGTCTTTAGCCTTGGCTTGTCAAACGCAGTCCGTGCACCGCAGAAGTATGTCCAAGCTCCCAGAAATAACTCTCCAATGTTGTGTGTGTGTTTCTGTATCTAAATTAAGGCTATCTGTATGATCTGATTTTCTCATATATGTTGTATGGTAGCCCCTCTGTGTGTGCATGGGCAGCATATGAGGCAGAGTGCATGCATCATAGGGCACCGTCTTAAATTACATGGCATTAGCAGATAAGGTTATCCCCCTGCCCTGCTGTCTCCTTCCATCTCTTGTATGCAGGCTGATGGCAGCAGGCAGCTGGAACACTTCACTCTTTTATTCATTAAAACTTTAGGACAAAGAGTGGATTGCTTGGAATTTGAAAAAGGGACATAATTATCTTGCATGAATAATGATCACTCCATCTAGCATACTGAACTACTTTATTTTCAGGTAGAAAAAGCTTGGTAAGATACCCTGGTAATTGGCTTCCAACACAATTTCGTTCAATTCTCATCCCACGTCAGTGCTTCATCTGGATTTTCTCCCTTTGAAATGGATTTCTCCAGAAGAATTTCTAATATCTCCAATCAGTGAACAAAAGGAGAAGTTGGGTAGTCTTCCTGGAAGTAGAGGAAGTGAAGGAAGCCATTCAGTCTGTGTTACCAACTCGTCCAAATGTTGAATTAACATTTATCGGCTGGCTTGGCTCTTCTCCCTTTTCAACGGGGGATAGTTGTTTTCAGTATGCTTCATAGCATTGAACTGGTGCTTTGCATACATCACAGGCAACTTCAACAGCACCTTTGCCTCCAGGAAGCAGTTGTCTCTATAGGGCTCCCTCAGTGTATGATAAGCCTGGCAGCCAGCATTATTACAGTGCCACTCACCATTTTCATGTTTACCTTTTATAAGACTTTTTAGTTGGTATTGTTAATGATGTCTTTCAATAACACATAATATCCTGTTAACTTAAAAAAAATCAACTCAAAGACATGGTGGATGAATGCTGGATGACCCTAGGATCCCTATAGTAAGTTGTCTCCTGGTAAGTCTAGTATCTCAACAGCCAAAGGCTTGGACTATCTGTAGAAATGATTTCACCAGGCTACAGGTAAATGCTTGTCTATTCGTTTCAAGAAGTTGCTGAGTTAGCTTTCTGCCATGCATGGTGCTTGACCTGTGGGCCAAAAGTGATTCTCCAGAACATGAACCAAACATCCCTCCTTTTTAGAGTTGCTTTTGTATCTTAATCAATGAAACACTATAACCAACATTTTGAATGTAATGTTTCAATATTATTTTTTTCTGTTATTATAATTTTTTTTGACGCAACTCAATAATTGTGTCCCAAAATTAAGTTGCACGTGAAACCTTTGTTGCCCTTTTTTAATCTTCTACCTCCAGAAACAGTGGCATGTCAGTTTCACTTACTAGCAATGCACAACTCCACCACTAGATGTCAGCATGGATTAAACAGTATTTGGAACAGACATCAGAGTTCAAATAAAGCCTTTGCTTTTCTAGGCTCGCTGCTCACTCCCACAGTCAAAACAAAGAAGCTTTTAGAAACACACACATCCTGTTGGACATGGTCAGCAAGACAAGTTGTTTTTCTAGTTGTTTGAGGTAAAAAAATAAAAATAAAATCAGGCGTTGTGGGTCTTTGCAGCCCTTAGCTATGTTGACCTGTCTGGTACAAGCTATAAGTACAGTAACATGAGCCATGCTGTAGTTAGAGAATCCTTCATCTGTCATTGTGAAGTTGGAAAGCTCTTAGAGCTTATAAAGATCTGCTATAAAGTCCCATAAAGTTGACTTTTCAACTCCTATTGGTTATAATCAAAACCAGGACCGGCTCCGACAGCCTATGGATTCTGTGTTGTGTGCGAGTGTAAGTGGTTTTCTTTATGCACAGTATAAAATTTGTGGGTTTCCTTGGCCTCAGATTATAATAGCCGGGTTAGATTTGGGATTTTCTGCAGCTTAAATAATCTTTTCTTGCAAACACAATGCAGAGGCATACTTGGACAAACACACTGGAAAAAAAAACACTTTTATATCTGTTGTTAGAAGAAAACTAAGTTTCACCTTTGAGAAAAAAAAAAAAAAAAAAAAAAAAAAAAAATTATATATATATATATATATATATATATATATATATATATATATATATATATATATATATATATATACATATATATATATATATATATATATATATATATATATATATATATATATATATATATATATATATATATATATATATATATATATATATATATAGGGAAGCCTCTGGTCTTAGGTAAAGCTTTCAGGATAAAATAAACATTAAGGGACTAGTATTGCTGTCAAACTGAAAAGCAATAATACAGAATGGCAGGCTGCCACCTGGAAAGGCAAACAGTCAGAGACTAAGATGTATCAGCAGACAGGTCCAACCAGCTGAGCAGCAGACTTAAGAAAAAAAGAATAACAATATTGTTGTTAATAAGTGTTCTACCTAATATTGCACTAATCAGTCTTTAGAGTCTGAACAGAGTATCACTTCAACATTTTAACATGGTCAGGTTAGAGAAAGGACTATAAAGAGCCTCATCAGCTTCACTTCACTGGTAAACTGGAATAACATGCAGATTATTTATGCAAAGTTTTCTGGAAAGGCTTTCTGCGTGGATTATTTTTATGGAAATTTCTGACTATTTCTCCAGAAGAGCATTTTTAAGGTCAGACACTGACGTGGGACGAATGGAAGAATTTCACAAATGAGTGATGTTTTCTGTCTTCCTGGTTTTAGTCAGAACGCCAGCAGTGTTCTGGAGCAGCTGATTTGTTTGGCAGACCTGTGACTCACTGCTGCAGCAATCAATGTGACTAAAGATAAATGCATGGATGAGTTTCTCTAGATGTTGCTGAGTCACTAGTGCTCTAATCCTGGAGATGTTCTTCAGATGATAGAAGGCTGACTTTGTAGCTGTCTTTATGTAGCTCTACAGATTCAGGTCTTATGTGTTTTTTTTAAACTGAAAGACACAGTATGTTGGATGAAATCCATACATCAACCCTGTTAGAATAAATCAACAAACGTCGAGGTTGGCCTATAAAGAATGAACTCATTTGGTTCTCCAGCTGTTTTACATTAGCTTTTTTAAGAGTGTAGAGGAAATATTTCATAGATGGAGAATTTTATTACAAAGAATAAATGTAAACCTTTAACTAAGCCACATACAGTAATCAGTATAGTAAACAGTGTAACGTTTCAAACTGACCAATCTAGGATAATAGGGCCAACATGACATCATTCCTTTCTTCTTATTTTTATTACACTATGTTCAAAGGAAGAAAGTTGAACTGGTTTGCTTCCTAGCACAATAGTTTTATTTAATCGACAAGTTATTTCTTGGAAGAGCAGTACTTTCTTGCCAATCTATCTTAAAATCCAATTTGGCTCTTTGCTTCTAGAACATGGTGATGTCTACAACAATAAGCTAAGTCTGTGTAATTTTGTCAAAATCTTCATCTAAAAACATCTTATTATCCATCAGTAGGCTAGTTTTGACAGTTTCCATAAATTTCACAAAAATATGTTTTCCATGTTGTTTCTTACAGTGACCCGCCTCATAACTGACACAGCAGTAGGCAAATCACTGGTTTTCAACCTTAAAAGTGGAACCTGGTTATTTTAAATCTGATGTCATTCCCTGATTCCTGTTGAAACTGGAAGGTTAATGGAGTACATTTTGCAATAATGTTACATAAGAGGCCCATTTATTTGTCAATCTCAGACCAAGCGGTCTACTGCCGATTGTTTGACAATAATCCAGAAGCACGCAAGTGCCATTGTTATCTTCCACTGAAAAATAAGGCACATCAAAATTTGTTTAAGTGTTCCTCCATCTTTAAAGCATTTGATTTTCACAAACATATTTGAAAAATCATTATAAAAAAAAAAGAAGACTGAGTAAACTAAAATTGTTAGTAGTTCCATTAGAGGACAGAGGGAGAAACCTGACAACGTCATCTGAATTGTAAAGTAAAGAAATACTAGAATAATGTTGTGTGAGCGTTTAGCAGAATGAAGGACTGGTGCACTACTCTAATTCAAGATATTATCCGTGGACCTGAAGCCTATTTGGTCTATTTGGTCCTCCAAATAGGTAATGACCCAATTGAAACCACTCAGTCACTAAAAATGGCTTAGGGACTACAATGATCTCAAAGTCCGGATCCCAAAATGCAGAACTAAATAGATGTCTGAACAAGGCAGGCTATAACCAA